CATTAAAGGCCCCCAAGGTTTTCAAACCAGACTCTTCTTCTCCTTCTTCTCGACCGCATCACACTTGAAGTCCAGTATCTGTAATATACTGGGTAGTCCAGCTCAGTTAATCTATCAGCCCGCACAGCTTCTCTTGTTTCAAACCAGAGTAAATCACATCACAGCCTCACATCATAACGCCTGAGCCATCTTTCTCGTAATCTAAAATCAATAACAGACATTTTGTAAAGCTAAAATTATGTTTTCAGCGAAGTTGAAGGATATGTCTATAACCACCAATCAGTTTAAAATACAAATCATATTATTTCAATTCCGTGAACGACATTGTTTAACGATGTTCCAAAGAAACAAAGTCTGTTATAAAATTTCAGGATCAAGATTAAAATTTAACTTTTAAAAAATAATGTTATGTATTAGTTGTTACTGTTCTTAGCGAAAGTAATTAGACTAATGTTACTTGTGCCAAATTACGATTTTAGAGATATATTTCTGGGTTTTTTTTAAACTCGATAGATTTGGCCTTGAGAATTGTTAGTGGGCGCTCAGGGGTGGTTTTACTCCTTCTTCTTTTTAATAGTAACGATGATTTAGCATTTTAGAGTTCAGTCAAGGCCATAAAAACCAATGAAGCCTAACATTAAGGTCATGCCCTGAAGTAAATAAAGAGATATCCATCGTCTCTTTCAAACCCTGTACCACATTGCGACCGGGTCTGTCAAACATAAAGCAGCAAGTCGGCTGCGACATCCTGGTAGGGAGTACTTAGTGACCTTCGAAAGGTCAAGGGGCAAAAACCTTTACTTTAGTTTCCGTGAAAAGTTTTTAGTTTTGTTTAGTTTAAGTAGAGTTTTTACGGCGCTCACAACTGCATAAGGTCATAGGAGCGTCACGTTTACGGCACTAGCAACACAATAAGGCCATATAAAGTGCCGAAGATTAAAAGTGTATCATTCAAAATAAGAGGAGGACAGATAATGACGATAGATGTCTGATAGGGAAGAAGGGGGATAAATCACACCAGAGCACCCGACAGCCACCCGCAAGGGCAAAATGTATCACTCTCTAGGCTAGAACTGATGCGTCGTATGCAGAATGTGACAGTTCAGCGACGACTCAACGCCCTTTAAACACGGGAAACGTTTTCACAAAGAGATTTTAAGTTTTCTCCACAAATAATTTAAATAGAACGTTGGGCTTACGTCAACGTTTCTCACACCACCCTCCCCAACCCCTCCAACCTCTCGTCCAGTCTTTGAACTCCAAAAGTTTTGAAGAGTTGGATCAACGCCTCTCTCCCTGGTACAGATGTTAAAATATTCAAGCTATCTTGGTTACTTTGTAAAAGATTTGGGGCCTACATTGTACCATAAATAACAGTACTCACATAGAGTGGGAAACGCCTCGGGAAAACTGTCAATGCATGCATGACCTGCTCCTACGTTCTGTTGGTGCTTTTCAATTATATTATGTAATAATAATAGCGATAATAATTAATTAAAATAGCTTTTGTATAACGCAGAACCCCGCTCGAAAGCAAACTCTATGCGCTTTCCATTGCAGATGGGATCAGGCCTGAAAACAAACGCCTTTGTTTTTTTAGGCGATGAGTCGGGCGCGATCGGCTTGTGTCACGATAGCCGCTTTGCGCCCTCAATCTGGCTAGCAAACCGACCCGACCCGGTCCCCCAGTGTGCACCTTGTATTGTATTACACTACACAGTACTATTACCCTTGGGTGGGGGGGGGGGGGGTCTCGTGGTCGAGAGGATACGGTGTTCGCCTCTCGTTCAATAGGTCCCGGGTTCGAATCCGGATTACGACGGAAATTTTTTCTTCTCTAAAATTGTCTCCTTTCACCTCCTTTCCTGCTCTTTAACAATGTTCTGTCGTCTGTTTTCGTCTCCACTTTCTGTCCCCACCCCCCTCACCTCCTAAACTCTTTCTGCAGCCTTTCTACTGCTAGTCCTTGGCTCCTTCTTACTGCTGTCTTTCAGCCTCGTCCGTGATCTTATGGTAGCTGATATTTAACACCTAGCGGTCTCCGATAAGGGAAAAAAATCTCCAAGGTCCTGTGTGCACGTTGCGCACGTTAAAGATCCTTTAATGGTCCAGAATCTTTAAGAGTAGGCTTCGGCCACCATCCGGGCAAAATTATAAAATAATTCCTTCCAAAACGATATATTTAGTGTGTCCTGCACGCTCATATTGACCTTATTCAGTTGCGAGCACCGTAAAACACTTACCAAAACAAAAAAACAGTTAGAAACATTCTTCGCTTCCCGGTAAGCATACAGTGCAACCAGTGTATTAATATTAAGTGCCCAAAGACTAACAAACTGACAAGATCTTTCGCTACCTACAGCTAGGTACCCATTCCCTCCTGGGTAAAGTGATGAAAATTCTTGAAAAGTGCCTTCCCAACGAGACCCTGACGGGACTCGAACCCATGACCGTATGGTATAGGTGAGGATGGTGGTGAGAAAAAAAAAAAAACAGATATAGGGTGCATATTATAAGAAGGATCAAATTGGAGAAAAATAATAAATAATCCACAGACAGGAGAAAGAGATTAAAAGAGCACCTAGACATGGATGGCTGGTACCTCTATAAATAAGATTATTGATGGCCAGGTCAGGTCAGTTAACTGAGTGAATGTGTTTATGTACTCTTTTCTTTAAGATTACTCCCACTTTCCTCTAGTCTAGAGCACCTTTATTAATACACACTGCTGTACGTGCCGTAAAACCATTACAAGAACCTGAGAATTTCTTATGGGGGCTTGTCTCTGAGAGGTAGGGGGGGGGGATAGCCAGTGTGGGTGTTCTCGTGTGCTTTTTTCCTTTTTTTTACTCACCTTGACTGTTTTGCGAAAAGAAAATATCAAAATGCTAATTCAACAATCGGTATCGACTACAGAGGACTGAATGACTGAATTTCGAGACGTAAGCAAAATGGGCCTTTTTTAGTTGTTTTTTTTAAAATTCTAAATTATCATATTTTTATTTTTATTGTTTTGTTCAGTTGTTTTTGTTTTTTGTAGTTTCGTTTATTTTTTGTTGTTTTTGGTTTTTTGGAGGGAGCGTTTGTTTGCTTTTTATGGAGGGAAAGGGGGGGGGTGGGGGCAGGATATTGCAGCCCTTGAAAAAGTGCACGGACAGCCTCAAACCGTCAAAATCTTTGGACAATCTGTCGACAAGGGGAATTAAAACAAGATCCATCCTGCCCGACAACGACTGATCCTATACAGCCTCCTCTGACTTGGTTCTGTGTCCAGACTAGCATGATGTTCAAAATTGCTAAGAATTTTAAAAGGACAATCTTCTCACCTTTACATACCTCCCAAGGCTGTCCTAACCTGACCGATTTTTTCTGGTTTAACTTTTCGTTTCGACTTGTCTGAATGCTGCTGGTGTTGTTGTTGACAGCATTCAGCCGAAGGATATGAAGCGTAACGCGTGACGTGGTTGGAAAAGCAAATAGATATTTATGTTTATACAAGTGCGAAACATTAAAATGTGAGGTACTTTCTTTATCGTTTTGGCCCAGTTTTCGAATGAGTAGTTTCTCTTGTCCAGATTAAAAAGGAAATAAATGTTACTGCGTAAATAGTGAGATTTTTTTTCAATGTAATGTTCTTGTTCAGTTTCTGCATTGAAGTCTAAACCTCGATGAACCCACCCAGTCTCGCCTTTACCTACTTATAAATGGATGCTATGGTTGTTAACTAAATCAAAGACTCGAGGGGTGGGACGGGGGGGGGGGAGAGTAAGGATGGAACGTTACTATTTTAACCATAAAGATCAACATCTAGTATTAGAAGTCAGAAGAAAGAGCGTGTCCAAACAATAAACTATACATTTTAAAAAAACATTTTGACAATAAAACAGTTTTTAATTTACTGCGAAGAAGAAGAAGAAGAAAAAGAAGAAGAAGAAGAAGAAGAAGAAGAAGAAGAAGAAGAAGAAGAAGAAGAAGAAGAAAAAGAAGAAGAAGAAGAAGAAGAAGAAGAAGAAGAAGAAGAAGAAGAAGAAGAAGAAGAAGAAGAAGAAGAAGAAGAAGAAGAAGAAGAAGAAGAAGAAGAAGAACAAGAAGAAGAACAAGAAGAAGAAGAAGAAGAAGAAGAAGAAGAAGAAGAAGAAGAAGAAGAAGAACAAGAAGAACAAGAAGAACAAGAAGAACAAGAACAAGAAGAACAAGAAGAAGAACAAGAAGAACAAGAACAAGAAGAAGAAGAAGAAAAAGAAGAAAGAAGCTGATGTAGGACCTAAAGGAGGAGGGGGCAGAAGGAAGAGGGAGAGGCAGAGAGCAGTTCCAGATCCGGGATTATGAAGATAAGAAAAAAAAAAGAAGGGAATCCTTAACTAAAGCACGCCAGGAGATAAAGCAGATGAAGATACATGTAATTTATCCATTAAAGCATGAGGAGAGATAACGATATGAGGTTTGACAACAGCCTCTTCAGGAAGGTTTTCGACATTGTCTGAAGCGTCGACTGAAGCAGTCACAAACTCTTACGTTTAATCTGTCTTTAACAAAGTAAAACAGTATAACATTACGGCTATATTAAGTAGGAAAAACGGTCACGTACGCAAATTATATCAGTTGCAAGAACAGCAGTCGATTACCCATGAGATCTAGCTAGGGGAACGCTGAGAAAAAGACGTTATATTATAACACATGCATAAATGTATAATATGCTTACTTAGAGAGCTTAAACAGTTGGGTGACAGTGAAAGAGCAAGATAATGATACAGCTTTTTTTTTTTTAGAGCACCCGAGCAAAAGAATATAAGGCGAACCATGATCTCCGACGTCTGTCGCAGATATCTCGAACTTGAAGATGATGACATTTATTGTGCATAATGTGTCTGCAGTGCACATGCGTGTGATTCCTTTAAAAAAAACCTTTGGGCTTCAAAGAAGAAAAAAAATACAAACATTCCAACGCAAACACCGGTTAAAGATATTTATCGGAGATGGAACACTGGGTTACAACTTACTGGGTTGGCATTTTTGTAGCTGTTGAGTTGCTCGGCTGCTGGCTCTCTGTTCGGCATGGTGAAGATGTCAGTGCTGTATCAGTTGTCTGAGGAGAGAAGAGGGCGTGAGATGTGTCAAAGCAACAGGAAATTCAGAATTCCGTACTTTTGCATATTAGAATATCATTTTAACTGTGACACTGCCGTTTTAATGAGCTTTTGTGTACAAAAGGGGGGGTTGGAGGGAGGGGCTGGGTGGGCTGAGTGTGTGTTCGTGAAATGTTGGGGTGTGCTTGCATGCATACATGTATGGGAGAGAGAAAGAGGGGAAGACAGGGATAGTGTGTGCATGTGTGTGTGTGTGTGTTTGTGAGTGTGTGTGTGTGTGTGTGTGTGTGTGTGTGTGTGTGCATG